TGAAATGGCCCTTGAGAGGAAAAAGGTCAAGAAATTACGCTTCGTGATCAGTCAGCAACTGACAGCGCCACGTATTTCCTGTTTGGTACTATTCAGCTGTTTCTGCACAAATGTTAAACTGAGTTGGAAAGAATAGAAGAAGAGATGGAAATCTTAAGGGAATATTCTGTTAGAAATTTAAAATCAATGTTTACAGATGAAGAACTCATTAATTTCAGTATTGTGTTCACACCTTAAAAGGTGTGAAAGGAGGGATTGTTAGAAATTAAAATCAATGTTAATAGCATAATTAGTCTAAAATATATCGTCAGTTTTAAAAGCTGTTTTATTGTGAAAAAAACCCGGAAGTTCTCAAAGTCTCAATGCCAAGCTTTTATTCTGAAAATCCTTCATATCCGGTCAGTACGTAGCATGTCGCGAACAATGTTTTAAACTAACTTACAGCTGTTTATAAGGTATTAAATAGGAAGTCATGAAAGAGATAAGAAGGAGAAAAGGCTTAAGGAAGTAGACAGGGAATACAGAATGTCAAAGTCCTCTGTTTTACGCGATGTCAAACATCGAAGACCGAGGAGGACGTACCCCCTATCTTCACAGCGGGAGGGAACGAGGAGAGGATAAAGGAGAACGGCAGAGGACAATTCAGGACTCCTTCTTCGCTGCAGCCACTCTGAAGACAACACCGGCTTTGTCTTTTCCCTTACCCTCTGCTTGTTGTATCATCGTGCCATTTAATTAAACTCACCAATTTGAACCTTTTCGGAGACTCCATTAGTCTCTTCATTCTAAGCTCCTCTCCTGGACGCGAGAACATCGAATACTTCTAATAGTTGGCAACCACGCACAGGACCTCGCCACCCGGGAGAACGAACCAAGCCAGCTGTTCAACAGATCCGCAGCCCTCTCGTCAGACAACAAAGAGCTCACACACAGTGGTTTGATTGATTGATTGATTGAAAAGTTTATTAACAGCTTGTATATTGGGTACAGTACAGTACAGCTCAAAACATACAATTGTTAAGGGGATGCAGACCAGAGAAAGACTTTCGTCTTGTTTACATCAGGGTCCCCCATTTCCAATTCATCATATCATTTAAGACATATAAGACATATTTGACATACAGATGGCTTATTTACAATTTACATACAGGTGGTTTTTTACATACAGATGGCTTATTTACAATTTTCATTTTAGATTTCGTTCTAATACATCCTAACCGGACATTTAAGACATACCAAGTCTACAGATATACAGTTAGTAACAGAGTCTAAAATGCGAGTATATACATAGATGGGGGGGGGAAGCTGTCCATTGTACGACAGGTTGAGATTTGTACCATTACCGGGGCCAGTTTTGCAATGCTTTCCCCCGAAGGTGCTCTTTAAGAGAGGTTTTGAAGGTAAGTATAGTTTTACTTTCCTTTACAGTTGTGGGAAGAGCGTTCCACCTTGATGTGGCATAATTGCGATATGTGTATTCCCCTTTTTTTGTGCCAAATCTGGGTTTTACATGATTTGTGGAGCTCCCTCTGGTGTTATGATCATGGTATTCCTTGACCTTTGGGAAGAATTTTGACATGTACATGGGTACCATAGAGGTGTAGTGGATCTTGTAGACCAGGCCCATTGCAAGTAGCTGTACTCTGTCGTCTACTCTAAGCCATCCTAGGTTGTCAAAGTGGGCAGAGGTGAGGTGGGTTCTAGATGAAAGGTCAAGCAGTAGTCTGACCAGTTTATTTTGCGATGTTTGAAGTTTTATTTTTAGCGCCTTGGAGGTGCTATGGTACCATGACGTGCAAGCATAGTCATAGTACCCTTGAATGAGTGCTCCTGCCAGAGTTTTCAGGGTGTTTTTGTTTACCAGAGAGGAGATCCGGTATAGGAATCTAGTTCTTTGATTGACTTTTTTTATTACATTGGATGCCATTTTGTCACAGGAGAGGTTTGCCTCAAGAATAGATCCTAGGTATGTAATTTCCTTCTTACTTGTGACAATAATGTCACCCACTGCAACTGAGAAGTCGTCGGATTTGCTGAGATTATGTTTCGAACCGAAGAGAATGGACTCTGTTTTACCCAGGTGTAATGATAATTTATTATCGGCGAGCCAGGTGCAGATTCTGCCGAGCTCGGAGCTGAGGGTTTTTTCAACCTGCAATCTGCTCCTGTCAGAGACCAGCAGGGCTGAGTCGTCCGCGAACAGGAACAAGTTGCAGTCACATGCTGATGACATGTCATTTGCATAAATTAGGAACAGTAACGGACCTAATATGCTTCCTTGTGGAACACCACAGCTCACTGGGAGGGGGGGGGACAGAGTACCGTTTACCTCCACCATCTGTTCTCTCCCCTCCAGGTAGGATTGCATCCAGCTCACCGATAGTTTATCAAAACCAATTGCTTTTAGCTTGTCAATCAGAATGGGGTGATTGACAGTGTCGAAAGCCTTTTGTAGGTCCAGCATCACCATGCCGCAGTATTTACCCTCGTCCACCTCTTGTTTGATGTGGTCGTTCAAATAAAGAAGGCATGTGTCAGTGGAGTGGGATGTTCTAAAGCCAGATTGAAATTCATAGATTAGTTTCTTTTCTGCGAGGTACTTTTCGACCTGTTCATATACTATTTTTTCCATGACTTTCGAGATGGAGGTAAGTATAGAAACAGGGCGGTAGTTGCCTGGGTCCAATTTGCTGCCCTTTTTGTGCAGGGGGGTTACTCTTGCAATTTTGAAGTCTTTGGGTACTTTTCCCTGTTTTATGGAGAGGTTAATTATGTGAGCTATGACTGGTGAGATGGCGGTTGCTGTGTCTCTGAGGAATTTGGAGGGGATATTGTCGTGGCCAGTGGCCTTGTTAGGTTTGAGGGCGTTCAGTTTAATGAGTACCTCTGCTGTTGTTACCCTTGCTAGACTGAAATCATCTTTGCGTACCCCTAGGTTTTTGTAGTAGGTCATGATGTGATCTACTCCAAAAAGCCCTGAGTGGGAGGGTAATTTATTTACAAGAGTTGTGGCTATGTTTGTGAAAAAAATGTTCAAGTACTTGGCCACATCCAGTTTGTCTGTGATGAGCCTGTTATCTGTCTTTATGTTTAAGTTTGAAAATCTCGTTTTGAGTTTTTTACTGCAGCCAAGCTGGTTATTGAGTAATTTCCAAAGTTCACGGGGTTTATTTTTGTTTTCCTCAGTTTTGTCATTGATGAAATTCTTTTTGGCAGTTTTGATCATGGAGCTTACGTCATTTCTTAGTCTGTTTCTTTCAATTTTTAGTTCAGTCACGTGGGCCTGGAGTTCACTGCTCGTGCTTTTGGAAAGCATTGACTGACTTTTATGAAACTCAGAGCATTTTTTGTCTCTGGTTTTCATGGCGGTCAGTATGCCGGAGTGCATCCACGGCTCAGCGCGATTTTTTACCCTGGTTGTTCTTAGGGGGGCCAAATCATTGAGTATTGCAGAGAATTTGTTTTTGAAACCAAGCCATGTTTCTTCAACTTGTGTACCACTGAGCTCATCTGACCAGTCCAGGCTCTCCAGTTCTAGGTTAAAGGCCTCGCTAGAGTAGTTTTTGAGGTCTCTAGATATGACTGTTTTGTGACAGCCGGCCTTTTGTTTTAGCTTTTTGCGGGTACAGAATATCATATAATGATCACTTAAACCGCATGCTATAACCCCTTTACTGGAGATCCTGGACCTGTCAGAGGTCAGAATGAGATCAATGGTAGTTTGTGTTGTTTCACATACCCGGGTGGGTTGGGTGATTAGCTGGCTGAAGCCGTGCAGATCACAAATCCTACTGAAGGACTTGAAGACGGACGTGTCTTTACGTTGCATATCCGTGTTCCAGTCTCCAATAATAATTGTCTCTACATCCCCCACATCAGCCAAACACCCATCTAATGTATCATAAAAGTCACTCTGTTCCGGTGGTCTATAGATTGTCCCGACTATTACAGATTTAGCATTGTCAAAAAGAATTTCAACCCACACAGATTCAATATTTTCATGAAGCAGGTCAGTACGGTTTTTGAAATTGGTGTCTTTATGTATGTACATGCAGACACCACCTCCATTCACGTTCCTGTCCCTTCTCACTACAAGATAATCTTCAATTTCAATCTCTGAATCTGTAATGGAATTGTCCAATTTGGTCTCAGAAAAGCATAATATGCTTGCCTTACCGTTCATGAACAGTTGCCTGAGTTCAGCCAGTTTGTGTCTCAGGCTGTTAGTGTTCAGATGAAAAATATGTAGTCCATTTTTGTTGTTTAAATGCATAATGTCGTCAGCTTGCAGATATTTGTCTTTGTCCGTTACAGCAAACGGCTTGCGGCCTGCCGTGGTGCTTGGAGCGGGGGGGTGGTGGGGGGAGGGAGGCTCCATTGTAGCTTTAGCCGTCGATATGCTAGCAGGGTGGCTAACAACATGGTGGATATTTGTTCCCTCGGATCTCGGTTCTCTTCCTCTCGTCACTGCCTCATGCGTGTCTGTCTGCCGAGGCGTCCCCGGGGGAATGTCGAAGTCTCCGTTGATTCCTCGGTCTCCGCTGTCTCCATGGTCTCTGTTGTCGTCGCGTAGTTGTTGCTGTAGCGGAAGAGATGCTAGTTGTGATGCTAGTTGTGATGCTAGCTCCTCGAGCCTGCAGGAATGGCTTCTTGTCTGCACCGGGCCCGGATTCAGATGGATGTCTCCCGCTAACAATAAGACCAAGACGATCATACTTCTTCGGTCTAGTTTGCCTGACGGGGGTAAGTACTTTCGCGTCGGGTTTGCAGTTAATAATGCATGAATGCTTGCACTTCCAAAAGCGAGGTGTTTCCTTTCCCAGCCGTTGAGAAGGTAAAAGTCATTGTGGTTCATTTTATCCCTGCTTTCACTACTCTCCTTCTCTAAGTGATGTTGCCTCATTGATGAGTTGAGGTAGGAGTCCATAATCCATATTGTCAGGAGGATGAAATATGTAAAAAATCGTGAGGAATAACCTCCAAAGCGGGAGCTCTCGAAAATGCGACCACTCATAGCGAAACCGGATGCTCAAGAAGATGGTAAGAAGAACCGGTTAAATCAAATCTTCACTAGCTTATGTAGGAAACTTTAAGTTTGTGTGTTTGATGGAGGCCAGCGGATCCGGAGAATAACTGTGCATTTAATGTTAAACAAGCTAAATTAAGAAGCAGAGACAACACGTGGCGCTATTGTAGGACAAGCAGGGTGAGTCTATTTTTTCTTTTCTTTGTTCACTAACACTGCATGCTTCTAACAAAAATTTGAAAACACTACAGGTGTTAAAGTTGCAGTGATTATACTATTGTGTGTTTTTCCAAGACATTGCGGGTGGTTTACGAAGGGAAGTGCGTTAGATATTAATAGCGTCCCATTTGGTCCCATTAAAGTGCGTGTTTAAACAGCAAAAGATAATCACCAGGCAATAAAATTGCTTAAAAGGGCAATAAAGTTGCTAGGGGCAACCATAAAATTGCTTAAAAGGGCAATAAAGTTGCTAGGGGCAACCATAAAATTGCTTAAAAGGGCAATAAAGTTGCTAGGGGCAATATTTTTAAAAACACTAGGGGTGTTAAAAGTCGTTTCGGACGGCAGTGATTATACTATTGTGTGTTTTTCCAAGACATTGCGGGTGGTTTACGAAGGGAAGTGCGTTAGATATTAATAGCGTCCCATTTGGTCCCATTAAAGTGCGTGTTTAAACAGCAAAAGATAATCACAGACTATAAAGTCAAATATTACGTCATTGGCCGATGATGTAAGGGCTCCTCATGTTAAAATAGGATATCTCTAGGATAAAGCCCATATTCATAGTAAACTAGATAGAAATGTTATTTTGTATATAAAGTGTAGTTTTGTGTTGTATTTTTAAACTTTGCTCTACTGAACCAGTTTCCATTATGTCCATTTAAAGATCACTAGCCATTATTTAATCTCATCCGTGAGAACCACATGGTGAAATTTCAACATCTCTTTGTTCTGGAGGTCAGAGTTTGAAATAATCAGTAGCCATCTTGTTTTGACCTCATTTCAAGGAAAAGACAGGGCAGTTGCCATTTCGTGAAATGCAAATTTCAGGACTCTTTTGTTCTTTGTAACCCATGAGGCCAAGCCCTTTATCTGACCTCCATCTTGTGAAGAACAAACCATTCTTCTTGTCTCAGTTGGATTTAGTCTTTTGCTAAATCAGGTTATCTATACATATTGTTGTTGGACTTTGGTGGGTGTAAACAAAGATTATTGTATTTTCTCAGACTGGAGTTAAGCTTTCCAATCTGATTTTTTGAAATATTTGTGTTTGCAAATGTGTTTTTGGCTTGCTTATGCATTACTGTTCAAATAATATTGTTTCTCCTTCCCATTTCAAAGGTATTTTTTAGAAAAATAACCTTCTTGTTACATAGAAGTCAGTTTCAGAACAGCTACCCCTGCTGGCAGAAACTGAAAACTACAACAGCGCACTCTGCTGGTTGTACAGAATTGTTGCAGAATTACAATTATATGCCAAAGTTTATCTCCCACGTGTTATAGATAAACACATACTTCAAAATTACAGGTGGTTCCTGATTTTAAGATAAGAAACCTTACATAATAGTCTTTCAAGCTAGACTATAGAATATTCAACCACCATATTTTTGAAGTAAACATAGTTTATAACATTTGCATAATCTCATGCACACAATTTTTTTTTTATCTTTCTACATTTTATAACATTTGCATAATCTCATGCACACACATTTTTTATCTTTCTACATTTTATAACATTTGCATAATCTCATGCACACACATTTTTTATCTTTCTACATTTTATAACATTTGCATAATCTCATGCACACACTTTTTTTTTATCTTTCTACATTTTATAACATTTGCATAATCTCATGCACACACATTTTTTATCTTTCTACATTTTATAACATTTGCATAATCTCATGCACACATATTTTTTATCTTTCTACATTTTATAACATTTGCATAATCTCATGCACACACATTTTTTTTATCTTTCTACATTTTATAACATTTGCATAATCTCATGCACACACATTTTTTATCTTTCTACATTTTATAACATTTGCATAATCTCATGCACACATATTTTTTATCTTTCTACATTTTATAACATTTGCATAATCTCATGCACACACATTTTTTTTTATCTTTCTACATTTTATAACATTTGCATAACCTCATGCAAAAAAAAAAAAAAAAACTCAGGCTCAACTGCAGATATTAAGGAAAGGGTACACATCAGATCAGATGCTACAACACATCCAAATGAGAGACAGAAGAGCTGGAAACAACAACAGGAATTGTTGACACAGTGGCAAACAAGAGGATTGATTCCAGCAGATAATCAACCTGGACCAACAAAGGCCCATAGAAGAGCAGTACTAGACTATGAACATGAACAATGCCTACAACAGCTAAATGTATGGAGGGAAGCTGAACAAAGGTTTATAAGAGTTACAAGGCTGATACTCGATCTGGAATATGCCAGCCTATTTACAGACAGCATAAATGTGGTCCGAATAGCAGACCTGCCAGTGAGAGTAGAATTCGCAGAAGAAAGACGACGAGAAAGAGAAACACAAAAGACAGAGCAGGAAGCGCTACAACTAAGACCTTTGAAGATACAGGTAGCGGAGAAAGACACAGAGGCTTGTAGGAACAACACAAGGAGAAGGGAGGAGAAGCTTTCAGAGATAACCATAGAACCAGAGAAGGCAGGCCAGACACCTCCAACAGTTCAAACTCAGGTAGTGCCTGAGATTCAGGTGCAGAATCAACGAAGAGGTGGAAGACGTTTCCGGTTTGAGGGATGTTACTGTTGCAGCCAAATGGGCCATTGGTCCAGAGATTGTCCGCAACACAAGATGCTACAATTACTGGAACATTGCACCACACAGCAACAAGCCCCAAACAATGGCCCTCCACACAGTTACCCCAGAGGAGGTTTCCATGACTACAACAGAGGCAGGGGGTCCCAGGGATGTCAAAGAGGAACAGGATGTCCAAATATGAAGAAGGACATTTTGAAATCCAGCCACATAGAGCCATATCTGTCACCACAGGGAGGAGAGGTGGAATGTTATTTTACACCGACTGCAGTTCAAGGGGCGAAGATACACCTGATGTGGAGCTGTTGAGACCTGAAAACAGAAACCCGATTCTGCTGTGGTGAAGTCTGGCTACAAAGGGAGGTGTTTCGATAGGAACCACTTGTCTCAAACCAGTGAAGAAGTCAACCAGAACCCAGCAGAACTAGAGAGTGACTGTTGGCGGGAGAACAGTGACAGGGCGACAGAAACTGGCACAACCTAGATAGACCCCGTCAGAAGACCGGGGCTGTGTTTAAAGGGGGAACTTCATTCATTGTTAGTTGAAGTATAGTTTTTATTTATTTTTTATTTTTTATGAGCCAAACAATTATGTGAGAATAGTTCGTACTTTCCCTCTAGTTTAAAGAAATATTATTTTGTCATGATATCTTTGTCCAGCAGTGTCAGCCAAGCCTCTAATCCTAGAGCTATTGAGATGCATTAGCAAAACCAAGGGTGTTGTTTTTTCCGCAGCAACAATGATACAGAATACCATGACAAAAGCCATTATAGAACTAACAACAAGTAAACTATTTTTGTGCTAATGGAAGATTGTTAGTGAATATGCATTTATAACATAGGAAGACGATACATCACACAACATCTTTGTACGCCTTGTGGGGCACACGGAGAATTTATATTTATTTACTACAACGTTATGGGTTTTCCATGTCCTATTCATAATAGAGTAATCATTGCAATATTAATTGAGCATTTTATGCTCAAAGGAGGGAGCGTCATGATTATACAGATATATTGATTTCGGTGACGTTGTAGTTAATAAATAACATGTTGTCAACAATGGGTCTCATAACAACAAAAGGTATACCAAAGCTTGGGCCTCCTCCAAGGAGTGGAGTGGTCCAGTTTTAGATTTAGACAAATAGAAGTGGATGAATATGTCAGACCTCTGAGTAATATTTTCCAAGTTTTGTCTACACAGGCTAGGAAAAACTGCACAGATACCAGACGAGACATCAGAAGAGACTCCTGTTCGGCCAGGTGATTGGGTGAGGGTGAAAGTTCACAAAACACAGTGGGCTGATCCCCGGTGGTCGGAACCGTGACAAGTTGTAATGAACTTCACATGCTCTCCGGTTTAAAGGTAAAGAAAAAGGAGCAAATTGACACCACCTCACATATTGTCACCCTTCACTGGCAACTTCCAGAAAATTATTGGAAGCTAGGACTGATTTGGCAGAGCTGGAACAAAACAATAAATATAAATACGATTTAAGATAGCAACAGCTCAAAAGACGAATTGTCTTTAGATTTTTATAGATTGTACACTAAAGTGAAAACCTATTTTGTTTTTTCACCTGAAAAAGAGTCCAACGTTTTGTTTCTATTTTCGTATACGTTATTTTTGTACTCATCATTTACATTCTGTAACTGACAAAACCATGGATAAAATAGAGATTATGTCAAGAACAAAGCCAAAGCAATTGTGGGGTCCCCTAAGGATAAGAGTCAGAATAGCATTGTTGATTGTGCTCATTACACTTGGCACCTTTCTGGTTGGATGGGGAGTACAATATCATGAAAGACATGGATCCATTAGTTCACTCGTAGAAAATGCCCACATCACTAACAAAACACCAGCTGTGTTTCAGAGACTCACTTATCCCCAGAGCCAAAAGATCAGTTGAGCAACAAGAGGAGGAGTTAGAAATACTCGTTCACAAAAATGAGGAGGTTACAATCAAGATCATTCACCCCCCCTATATGCAGTTCTTGTACCAAATGATGAGATGGGTTTAAGTGATCGGAATATTTAAGTGATGGGGATTTACAATTTAGGGGAATCTCCAAATACACTGGATCCATGTTTTAGTCTGTACCAGAAACACCCCCGTTAAGACTATGGACAACCGACTGGTGACCTGAGCAAAATTATTGAAAAGTTATTACAGTAGAAACAGGGTACTAACCCACGAGGA